AAGAGAAGAGCCTACTACTCCACAAACAACAAGTAATCTAAGCCGACTCATCCTCATCAACTTCAATGAAAATTCAAGTGAAAGAGTACCACACTTCAGAAGATTAGAAGAACTTTATGAAGTAACTATGAATCAAGATAATCTTACTCTTTTTTGTCTCTTTGCCGACTGTGAACCCATTGATTTCTAAGAAGCCATACAAAGCAATAAGTGGAAAGATGGAATGGATGAAGAAATCATGACAATCAAGAAGGAATGACACATGGGAGCTAGCTTCACTTCCTAAAGGGCATAAGGCAATTGATGTGAAGTAGGTGTACAAAGCAAATAAGAATTTCAAAGGAAAAATTGAAAGATACAAGACAAGATTGGTGAAAAAAGACTACAGTCAAAGAGAATGCATCGAAAGAAAGGAGATACAAGTGGAGTATGTGAAGTCACAAGATCAAGTTGCACATATTTTTACCAAGCCACTTAAGTGTAAAGACTTTATTAAAATGAGAAGTTTACTTGGAGTCACAAAATCAAGTTTAAGAGGGGGTCTTAAAATATAAACTTGATTTTAGTTGTTTAAATAAAGTCTAATTATGTCTCATCTAGAAACTTAATCTAGAATATGTGGTAAGTATGAAATTATTGTGTGGTAGGTGTGGTAGGTGTGGAATTATTATGTGGTAGGTATGAAGTTATTTGTAACCATTAGATTGGAATTGTAGTGACACAATTTCAGCCATTAATTTAGGAGGCGTCACTAGCATAAATAGGGGTGGAGTCTTTGAGTTTTTCAGTCATTAATTCAGGAGGTGTCACTAGCATAAATAGGGGTGGAGTCTTTGAGTTTGTATCAAGCTAAGTAAATGTGATAAATAAAAGTGAAGCTTCTTTCATAAATTTTTATCCTTTGTCATATCCTAAAAGGTTCTCCGTTCCAACATTTATTTTAACAAAAGCAAAAAGCCACTTAAATGTGCCAATTTTAAACATTGATTATTTTATTTTATTTTTATTTTTGAGAAACTGTTATGCATATTAGACTTCAGCTATGCTATATCTCTTGCAATGAAATGGGATAAATTGATTTTTTCCATCGATATGTTACTTGAAAAATTTATCCCATCAAATTAGAAATTTGAGGCAATTCTTAAACCTTGAAATTTCCGAATATTTGAGATTGATATTTTACTAATCCATTTCCTAATGAATTAATTATTTATGCAGATTGTACAAGCTGTAGAGATTTCTTTTCAGTTTCTTATCAGGTGTAACAATCACCCTTTTTACATCTTTTACAGTATAAACAATCTGGAATACATACAAAGCATGTAATAATCACAGAGGCTTATGCGAAATCCACCTGCTAAGCATAGCGAAACACTGCTTCGGCTTGTACTCTGGTGCTGTGTGACCTGCTCCCTGAAATCAATTAAAGAAAATTAGGACAAAATGAACAAGTTGTTGTAACATTGGGTTTCATAAACTGTTTCCAATGCTTCAGAAGCTAAAACAATTACCTTCACTGTTGCAAAAGTTAAATTATAGTTGTAGGACACTGTGTATCTACAGAGTAGAAAGAGAAAACTATCAGATTAATCATCCTATATTCCGAAAATTCAAAATAGTAATATTATTAAAAGGGTTATATAAATTTCTGTTAGCAGTTAACAACTCACCCTGCAACTTGGCCCCCAACTTTCCATGATCTCCACTCATCCAAAACTGAGAAGTTTAGGGATCTAATCCACTGCTTGGTTCCCACAAATGGAATAACTATATCATGGTCGCCACTGCATGTATCATAAAAAAGAATTTACATAATTATAGGGGCGCAAAAGAGAAGAGTGGAGCTCTGTCATTACATAATGTGAGCTGGAGCACTAGCCTACTTACTATAAAGAAAAGGTAGTTCAAGAATAAAATGATCCATGATCCAGTGGTTAGAAGAGAAGATTGTCTCTTTAAGATTATGAATCCATAACCATTACTAAAAATAATTTTAAAAAATGAAGTCAAATTCAAATAGTTTTTCTATTGGGAGCACGTGAAGAAGAAAGATAAACTAAGAGAAAAAAAAAGCATATTAGAAATATTTGAGATTATTTTCGTAAAAAAAACTATAAATTAAACCCTCACCTGTAAACCAAAGCCCTATAACCCCTCGTTGTAAGATTAATTTGATACTCAATATTGTTGTTCAAATCTACATTGAATTGCAGGTTATTGCACCTCTGCCACTCTACCACAGTTCCCTGTTCCTCAACATGTATTATATAGTTCCAAATAATACAATTAGAGAAAAAATATCCCCTCACTATATTTTCCTTGCACTAGAACTATCAGACATGTTAGAATACAAAAATGCTTATATATATGCTCAAGCCAATACCTTCTTGACGTTGAGAGCATCTCTAGTGACATTATTGTTTGCCCAATAGTACATAAGATAATAAGCATAAGTCTGTGGCAAAGAGAGAGAGAGATATATATCTAATGTCAAATTGCTGAAAAAGTTTTTGGCAGAAGTGATCGGTCTTCTGAAAGAAAAAGAAAGAAGGAGATTACTCTGCATTTGATATTAGGAACTAGTGGACGTGTCAAATAGTTTGTACGTATTTCTTCCATAGACCTCTTTCGTGTATTAATATCTTTCGATTTAGCCAATGCCACAACACATATGGGCTCTAATATTTGTGCAATCATTATTTCAGATAAAAACTGCAAAATTGTTTCACAATCGTTAGCTTCATTCTTAAGAATTTTTAAGAAAAAAATGTTTAAAATTTTATAAAGGAATGAGCTAAGTTCCATGAAACTCACTCACTTGGTCAAATGTTTGCATGTTCTTAACACACAAGGAACTCGATTTATCCTCTTCGTTACAGTTTCTATCTATTGACTAAAATATATGATGAAAATTTCTTAATAAGAACTCACAAAAAATACACCAAAGAAAGAACAAAATCCATCACCATGAGATGAAGGATTTACATGATAGAGTTCCTCTGATATAATTCCCATTCCACAAGCAAATGGAACTCTAGAACTAAAATCGACAGTTGTGCCTGTTACCGGATTACCCATTATATATCCCTACAATCAATCAATTTTTTTAGTATCAATAATCAACAACAAAGTATAAATAAATAAAATCTACTAAAGCCATAGTCCCATTTATATATACATCTTATTAGATGTGCATATACCTGAAAGTTAAGCATGGGATGCTGCCCTGCTTCATTCCCTGCGTTCCATCATCCATGGTATGACAATTCATAAGCAGAATAAAAAAGAATTTAGCCTATTGCATTAATTAACAAATGGGCATTGAATTACTGATATATTAATTTCTCTCTTAACGACAGTTAATTTTCATAGGAATTTCTACAACATATTGTTTATTTAATTAGAAAATTAACTCTCTTGATGTAAGATTGCACGAGAGGATACCTTGTAATACATTATAGGCAATGACTGGGACAACTTTCCCAGCATAAGAATCTCCAGAAATGTATAAAGGATTAGATATGAACTGGGGGTGCTCGATGAACCACTGCAAAATAATATAATAATTGCGTTTAAACAGCCCAAAACATTAAAATGTTAGGAAGAAATATTACTTCCGGCGTCAAAATGTGGAATTACCTGACTTCGCCAATTGCATGAAAAAATGTGCCTGGACCCCACTAACCCAAAGAGGGTTAAAAGCAGAATTTGAGCCCAAAATAGTGACCCAACCCAAAATGATTATTACGACAAAGATTTATCATTTAACACACGTTTTTCTGCGACCCATTTTGAGCTAAAGTTTTGACTAAATTGTTTCTTCTCCATCTCCCGTTTCACACCACCAGCTACCTAAGTGACCTACTAGGGTTGTAAGACTTCAACATTTTATTGTTGACAATCTTTTGAACAATAACTTCATAATCTGAGGAATTCATTCTCTTAGAGTCTTTTCCCTAATCGAGCTCCGGGGGGTTTCAAAACCAATCAAATTTTGAGGTATTAAAATATAGAAATTTTTTAGAGGTGTTAGCATTCTATATTGCTAATAAATGTTGTTAATTTATTTACTTTGAAAAAAAATTATGCCATATGCTATGTTTTGTTGAAAATTGATGCTTTTGATATTTAAGTGGCAGTTGCTAGAATAATATATATATATAAAGGGTGGTATTTTGAATACCGCTTCATTTATGTGCTATCGGTTTCCGTAGAGATCAAACCTGGGTTAGAGGGGTTTTATGATTGATTACTACCAACTTACACCCCAAGGGTGCACATAATATATATATAAAAATTATGCCAAAAATTAATGATTTTCTTCTCTTCATAGATGATTTTTCACAAAAGCTAGATTTCTTCATATTTACATTTTATATAGAATATTTTCATTCAACTTGTTGTGTTTGGACTAATTACTAAAGCAAAAGTCTTATTTAAGACCCTAACAAATTTGATTTGTCATGAATATGAAAGTTTAAGTCAGGTTTCTTCAGAAATATGTTGTACGAATGCATGATTTATTCTTATTTTTTTTTTGTGTATGGATAATTTTCCGAAATGAAAATTTTAATTATGGATAGTTATTGAAGTAAAAGTCCTTTTTAAGGTTCTAATAATGATAACTTGTGATAATTATGAGAATTTAGGTTAATTTTTTTTATAAATATATTAGATTAATGCAAAATTTATAATATTTTGTTGTTGTGTTTTGACAGAATGCTGAAGTGGAAGCCTTTTATAAGGCTCTGGCTCTACTGATATGTGTTGTTTATGAAGTTTTGGATAGCATTTGTTAACCAAACATTTCAAATTAAAATAGGATTTTTTTCATTTGACTTGTTGGTTATTGGCTACTTAATGAAATAAAATCCTTATTTATGACTCTAATAATACTGATGTGTAATATTTATGAAAACCTAGGTTATGCTTTTTCAAAAACATTTGTAATTAATCAAAAAGATTATTTTACATGTGTATTAACAGCTTTCTGAAATGAAAGTCTTATTTAATCATCTAACAACACTAATGTGTAATATATATGAAATTTTAGGCTAGATTTCTTCATAGTTACATTTTATATAGAATATTTTCATTTAACTTGTTGTGTTTGGACTAATTACTAAAGTAAAAGTCTTATTTAAGACCCTAACAAATTTGGTTTGTCATGAATATGAACGTTTAAGTCAGGTTTCTTCAGAAATATGTTGTACTAATGCATGATTTATTCTTTTTTTTTTTTGTGTATGGATAATTTTCCGAAATGA